GGTAGATCGTTGGCTGCGCGAAGGCCTTCCCTGGTGTGCGGGTTCGACTCCCACCAATTTTTAATTATTGGGTCAACTAAATTTATCATGTTTGAAAGTATTATTTTGTTCCATAGTCAAGGTTGTCCATCCGTAACTATGCTAATGCTATTGCCAGCAGGATTCAAGGTCGAGCATTCATTAAAGCCCTCCGGGTCACAAATCAGGCTCAGTTCTGAAAACCTCACAGTAAACCGTTCGACAGAGGTCGGCGAAACTACAGCTCATACCAAAGGTTGATGAAGAACTATATACGAATTAAAATGGAAGAAAGGCGTCCACTGATCAGTTAGAGGACCCACTCGTCCGTCCATGGTGGCTTTGGAGCTCACACTCGTGCCTACGCCGCAAGGGCCCTAGTGGCAAGACAGTGGGCTCGTGGCTCAATGGTTAGGGCGTTTAACTCTGATAAGAAAGGTCGTGAGTTCGAGGCTCGGGTGGGACACTACTTGGGTGTGGGGTTGATTGGCTAACGACGACTAATAAGCCATAAATGGCCATCCTAGTCTCCCTTAACTTTGTCGGAAATGTCCTTCTACGAATTAAAATGTATTGTGAAGCAGTCACACAGGCATAGCATGAGAAGAAACCCCTTGATTCCAGCAAAAAATTCAAAGAAAGCGTAATTTGCTCTCCAAGGAGTAAAAGGGGTGCCATTATCGCATATGTTTTCTACAACGTATAGTCGAATTTATAAGATTCTGGAAAATCAAAGAGAGTATTAATCCTACTTAAGAAGTCATTTTTAACAGGATGCTGTTCTTGCAAGTGGTCGGAGAGAAGTTGGTTTAAAAGTCAAAATCCTGACGTAACCGACTGATTTTGAGATAAGGCTACACAATAATTTATACCAAAATCCTAATTAATCATTTTTCGAATCAAAAACACATTTTTCTAATTGACGCTGTTAAATTACGGTTGATATTTTATGAGATTGTAAAGCTACTATACTAGTACGGAATCTATATCGGAAGGAAGGAAAGAGGTCATAAAATGCCCAATCTTCAGAGTAGATGGTCTACACTAATATTAAACTATCAGCCACAATGACTGGAACAAATTAAACTACAGCAATTTAGATGAGCCGCAGTTGTCGTAAGAACTCATCGGGCCCCCTTAAAAGCGATTATCGGTCAAATATGATTTCCTGGCTGATACGGTGCCTAATGCAGCAAGAAATCTGGGTAAAGAGTTCTTATAAACATGACCACAGTAACAAAAAACCCCAGGATTGTGTAATAACGGATTGGTAATAGGGGTTGTATGGGTTGGGCATATCCAGGGGAAGGAAAAGATAGAGCGTGTAAAATTAATAAAAAATGGGCACAATTATTTAAAAACGTAATCTATGGCAATGAAAAAAACTAAGCAAAAAGTAAATATAAGCAAATCGAAGGTAATTGAATAAACAGTCGCGATAGAAATAAGTGCAGCTCAGGAGTCACTGGGAAGTAAAAGCATTAGGAAACAAGAACTGAGCAAGTAATACCCGCGAATTGACCACAATTAGTTGACTGACACGGAGATGAACAGCGGTATCCGTGATCCGTGAGTTGATTTGCAAACAAAGAAGAAAATAGCAGCGGAAGGTAAGCAAATGCGTTAATTTATATGGCCGGGAAAGGAGGTAGTCTCTTTTTTTGAAAATTAAGTGAAAATAATGTTAATGAAATAAAAAACTACATAAGTGGTTAGGCATGCATGTATTTATGCCGTTTATAAAGAACCCCACTGAAATACCTAATATTCACAGGTAATATGCCCGAATGAAAAGTTGGAAAAATATTTGTTTCCCCAAATTGATTTTTTATTGATTTTAATTTTATTTAAATATCCAGTAACAGATGTTGAGGTCCACTGCTTACAGCAAGAATAGACTGCAGTAGTTTATGACTTGCTTAGGTTAACTACTAACCACTTGCTATCTACGTTGTGCGTGAATTGCTCTATCCAGATTACACTGAAGTTGACGACGATGGCGATAAGGATGACGGCAAAGATGACAATGAAGTCGACCATGATGATAAGGATGATGATGAAGACGACCATGATGATAGGGATGACGAAAAAGACGACCATGACGATAAGGATCACGACAAAGACGACCATGAGGATAAGGATGATGACAAAGATGACCATGAGGATGAGGATGACGACAAAGACGACCATGAGGATGAAGATGACGATGACCACAAGTACTGTGGGAACTCCGAGGATGAGATTTCAGACCATGATCTTGAGAAAATGATTTTCGACTCCGAGGAGGACGGCGCTGACTTGATGAATATGGAAGAAATGGAAAAGGAGTAAAGAGATGAAGAATCCCGTTGTTAGGCTACGACGACCTCCCGTGACTTGTTGTGAAACAGATATCTCCCATTGCTTTATACTGAGTATCGAAATGACTGCTTAATTTTTGTGAGCCTGTGTGTAGGTGTGTGTTTACAATTGCCGATAAATACGTGATTTACAAGGAGCTTTTGGCTTGTCTTCCTTAGAGGAAAGTCCATAAAGATAGTAATAAAAGAGCCCTATTGTATGACAATTTAATTATAATTTCTTTGTCCGAAACCCAGAACTCTCTTGAGTAATCAAATTGCGTCATGCTTCGCTTTGAAACTAAGGTATTGAGTACCAAAGTTGTGGGTATTATGACATACCAAAATGGTTATCCTGCCTGTCACTCATGATAAATAAAAACGGGGAAACGCGAAGAGGACCCGCAAAAGCAGAAGACATTGAACCGCTTAATAGGTGTTGCAGGTGGAGAAAATAAAATGTGCGGTGAAGATTAAAATAAATAAGAATGGCGCGACCCTTAAGTGATGGCAAAACACAACTGGTGAAAAATCTTGCAGGTGTACCCATTAGCACACGCAGGCGGGAGATCAATATGTCTTTTCGCAAAGCTACTTTGGAGTTCACTGCTTTGGTGTGTTTTAAGACTTCATTTGTGGTCACGAACCCACATTCTGTTGAGTTTTCAGACCCCATTCGTTAGTAGATAACAAATCAAGTGACAGTTAGAGCAAACAGCAACCGTAATCACCGGCAGAGGTTTATTGTAAGTCTGACGTTTCGGCTCGCCTACCCATCTTCAGAGAATGAATACTCTGGCTAACACACGTGGGCGACATATGTGGGCGGGAAAACAACATACACCACTATAACAGATAAGGCTAACCGGGAAGGTCGATAGCTGGGAGACAAGCGACGGGGTGGTGAGAGCCACACGAAGCGGCTCAGCTGGGATCGGCAGAATACGCACACAAAAAAAGAGAGAAAAAAGAAAAAAAGAAAAAAAAATAAGAAAAAAGAAAAAAGAGAGAACCATGAGCCGGAGTACTCATTCAATGGATAGACAAAACAACTACCGGAAACGCCAGACTTACAACAACGCAGACAGAAGAAAAGAGAGAAAAAAAGAAAAGAAAAAAAAGAAAAAAGAGAGAACCATGAGCCGGAGTACTCATTCAGTGGATAGACAAAACAACTACCGGAAACGCCAGACTTACAACAACGCAGACAGAAGAAAAGAGAGAAAAAAAGAAAAGAAAAAAAGAAAAAAGAGAGAACCATGAGCCGGAGTACTCATTCTATGGATTGACGAAAAAACTACCGGAAATGCCAGACTTAGAACAACTCTCTCCCGGTAAACGTTCGACTCTCTTCTGAGTCACCAGCTGGGAAACGCATTTTCACCGCTTTCAAACATAATCGTTGAAAAAACAGAGGTCCATAGCAAAGAATTGCTCTTTAGTAGTTGCTGTTGATCAAACTGAATGGCAGTCCTTGGCAGTACTTTTCTGAGGCATCATTAGGTAGTTTATTTAGCAGGTGAACGCTCACGCCTTCTGACATGTAAAAAAACCCTGTCCTTTTAAGGTCCTATCACCTACTCAAATATTGCGTTTGTGTGACCTGGAAAATCGGCATCACAAGAAGTATACTTCGGTAGAAGAATTTCTTTGGGAAAATGTCATTTATTGAGTGAATTTTCGACACTGGCTCACCAGGTCGTCATCAGACGGATGGGAATCGTAAGAAACAGTTAATCCAAAATGATGGCCAACAGAGGCTAATGTAGTGGGTCGGGGTGAAAATAGGTAATTGCCACCCACATGTGATTATGCGGTCAGTGGGGAAGAAAATAGTTGTTACCCGCATGTAATTATGTGGTCGGTCAGGAACAAATTGTCGACCGCATCTAATTGTGCGGTCGGTGGTTGCTGGTTTTGGCTTCCTCTAGTCCGGGTAGGCTGCCGTCTCTTCCATGCTTCTCTGAGGTTGGTGTACATCGCGTCCAATTCGACGGGTCCGTTGATGCACCAGTCGTCGGAGTTGATGGCTTCTAGGAATTCGCGGGCTTTCTTTATGGACAGGAGCCAACAATGCGAATTTCGTCCCATGCAAATTGGTGTCCAGTGTCTAATGTGTGCATGGCAAATTCAGACAAGTGATATCGCCCCTTTAGCGCTCTTTGATGTTCGCTTAAGCGGTAAGAGGCTGATTTTTCTGTCCGTCCGCAATAAACTGGATCGCAGCCGCTACAAGGGATCTTGTAAATGACTTCCTTTATGTCCAAATAGCTAACCCTGCCCTTAGGCTGTATAAGCTGATTTCGCAGAGTATTGGTCGGTTTGTGTGCCACTTGGATTTTGTTCTTCCTCAGGTGTGGTGCGGTGTTTGTAGCTGGTCGCTTTTAACAACGACAAACGTGTCCTCAACATGTCGTACCCAGAACTTGGTTTTAAATTGTGGTAGGGCCATTGTTTCTAATTTTTGCATTGTTACTTCAGCTAAGAAGCCCGAAATGACTGAGCTCATCGGGGAAGTGTTGTGTTTGTGTAATTGCGGCAATGCACGGCGAGAGAGAGACTACAGCAGTTGTCGACGTACTCCACAGTTCATTGGCCTGGCATCAGTCTACTCACGCGTTAACCTCCCTCGAGGTCAATCCCGAGATTAGGCAAGACTTGTATTGACCCAATTCCGAATGCAGGCACACTCGTGGCTGATAGCACGTGCCATTGGCAAATCACGTCCGGCCAATCACCTTCAAGCCTTGGAAAGTCGAGCTACTGAAAATGTGAAAGTATTTTTTTATAATAACTCAAAGACAAGAGCGACCCTTATAGATAGCAACCGCCTGTAGGTAATAAATCTAAAACTAAACGAAAAGTTAACTCAAATCTAACTAAATTAACTAAGCAAAGATGATCTACAGTAAAATAAACTAAATAAATTAAAAGTAACTCTAAAACTATGAAAAAAACTAACAAACTTCAAAATAAATTAAAAACAAGAGTAAAACTGAACATAAAACTAAGTGAGAAATTTATCAAAGTTAATTTCTCTTTTTATTTATGGCACTCACATTAAATTATTTAAAAATTATTGGGAGGTTAGTTAAACGTCCGTCAGCAGTTGAGTCGAAGACAATCAACTTATGCGGAATAATCACACAAATGTCCGTTCTACAAACGAGTACTGCTAAAAGTAGTATATTTCATATGGCAAAGATGTTATACCGTAATCTCGCATAGGTACCAGCTAAAGTCCCAGACACATGTTTCGCTGATATTTCTGCTACTGTGACACAGAATATGG